GGTTCCCACTGCTTAATGGGATCTTCATTCTTCTCCCCACTAAATGTTTATTGATTATCTCACTGTTCCACACTCAGCCTCCAACAACTTAATATCAGGTGACAGTCAGGAGAGTTCTCCAAGTAATTAGAGTTGAGCATTGGGGGAACAATTAGGAGCAGAGTTATTAAACTTGATTTATCCTATTCTCTCCTGAACAGTTTCTTGGATATCAGAACATCACACTTTCACAATCTACCCTGGTTGAGAAATTAGTGGCTAACCTGCTGCTTATCATTGTTGCCTTGCTGCCTTGAGGCACACCCTCTTTGTTTCAGTCACTCAGCTGGAAATATTAGAGTCCATAAAGTTTATCAAGCGTTTTAATTGGATCAATCTGAAGAAGAAAAAAAAGGAGAGGCTTAGCAGCTATTACTTTAAAGCACTGCAAACAGTATTCAAACAGTTTTAAAGGTTTTGCTTTAATCCAGCAATGGCAAAGAACTTCAAAAACAAGGTTCAAATAGTATCTTTACATTATCCATTATGTTTATGTGTTGCAGAATTTATGGTAAATCAAATTACCAAATGGTTGCACACCTCTGCAGATTGCTTTGCAATTGTTTAAAATAATAAATCAGCAGTGTTGTGAGAGCATTAGGTTTGGCTTTTAATGTGTTCTCTGCGTCACCAGCCAGTAAAGTTGTGGTCACAGTCTGTGGCTAACTGCATCTTGTGTCCTTGGTTCTAAGTAATTGTTACTAGCTATTGGGCCTCATGCTTCTGCCTCTCTAGGGAGGAATCCCATGACCCTTCCACTCTTAGATTTGGCCCAGGAGTACAGTACCTGTGTATCAGTTGTGATTTATTTAGCATGTCTGTGACTAGGTACAGCTACTTGGGCTCAGGAGCTGTGACCAGTGGTAAATGCAGTGAATCCAAACTGCATTTTTTAAAACCCAATATATATTTTAACAGTAGGACAATTGCCTAACAAAACCCAGATTGTTAAAAACAGAGTCTCTATGAATATCTCTCTTAACAGAGGGCTTGGGTATGTCTTTATTATCCCAGAAACCCATATCTGTAGAGACTGGCTACCACACTTGTCCCCAGTAGCTGTGTTAGTCTAAAGTTAGGCAGAAGGCATGGACTTTACAGACTAACTAGATAAGATATATGTAGAGAGCACAAGCTTTCATGATCTCAAGTTCACTTCATCAGATGCTGTGAAAGGATAGCATAGAGCAGTGTATGTAGTGAAGTGAGTGATTTGAATACAGAAGGTGGGAAAAGAGGAAGGAGAGTAGCCTAGGCTTTGTGCTACCCAAAAGAGAGGTTTCTATAGCAGTAGTGTATAATTTCATCTCTAATGCAACATCAGCTTAATAGCACAAGCTGACTTATGAGCATTTTTTTAAGGAGTTCACACTACTTGCAGTATGGAGACATAAATGAAGGTATTTGTTCTGAAATTGTAGTACACACTGCATTTAAGTTCTGTTGCCAGTAGACATTATTTCAGTGTTATACTTTGCTCTTTAATATTATTTGTTTGAAGCAGCCTTGTCTGGCACTGTAAAATAAATAGGGTTATGGACTCTTATTAGGTCTAAACTTCCTTTGGAGAGGTTATAATCTTAGTGTTCTGCAAATTTTTCTAAGATGTTTGTGTATATTCTTCTTAATACATATTTGCAGTATGCAATGAATATATATTCATTGATACAAACTACACAGAACGTTCCTAACATGAAGTTAGAACATATATTGGGAAGTTCTTTGAATCTGCAAGTTATAGGTCATTATGAACAAATGTTTACCTTATGTTTTATGAAAGAAATACTTCATCTATGGTAGCAGTTTTTAAGTCTGAATATCCTGATTGATAAATTTAATTCCTTTTCTGTTTTAAAAACATCTGAGTTTACAATAAGCCGGTGACCTAATCAATATTTTGAAAATGATGTTTTGTGTTTCATAAATTAAAAATAGGGAATTCTAAGCAATACATTTTGTAGAGGGAAGAAATTTTTGTAACTTGAAGATCAAACAAATTCTAATAGGAAGGAAGGGATTTTCTTTTCTGAGAGAAAGCATAACCACCTGATTATAAGACTTATCATGGGTGGATCCAGGATTTTAAAAATGGGGTGCAGGAGCACTAACTGATGCTGCTCCCAACTACCCCCACACCAAAACCAGGGAGGGCAGACCACACCATGGAAGCAGGAGCCAAGAACTTCTTAAAGTCCGTGATTCAGATAAGAGCCTCATTCTCCATCCCTCTGCTGTTGGAACCCCTCCCCTCCTCCCTGGCTATGGACAAGCATTACACATAAATCGGTTTAAGTGATCAGAAACTGGTTTAAACCTATAACAGAACAGATGTTCTGTGCACATAAACCAGTTTAAAAATGGCTGAAACTGGTTTCAGATAAACCGGGTTGAATATAGTATCAGACTTAACAGATTTGGGTCAAACCGGTTTATGCAATATCTGTCCCACATCCCTTCCTGATTTAAGTTAAATTGGAGTCCTCCAGCATCCCAGATGTTTTGCAACTCTGGGTGGGGCTCTGCTCTCTGCTGTAGCCGAGCAGGGCTGGCTCTGCTCCTCGGCTCCCTGGCTGCAGCTCTGGCAGAGACTGCAGGTACAGAGGGGTTTGACTGGCTTCCTCCTGCTCACCCCCCTCACCACCGCCACTCCCTGCTCAAGCAGGATTCCCTCTCCCCTCTGCCTTACACAGATACCTCTCAGCATTAGCTAATATACCACATGCAGGCTGCAGTCTGTGCTGTGGGAGATGGGACAAAGGCAGACAGGACTGTGTCAGTGTAGGGATTTTTGGAGCTAATCAACAGGTAGCTGGTAATGTGCTTCTGTTCCTTCCTTGGAAAAAAGGTGTTTAACAAAAGCTTGAACTAATGAGAGAGGCAGTTGGTTTTATTGGTGGGCTGATAAATGCTAACAACTCCCTGTGTAACTCCCTGCTGTATAATTCAATGCTCTGTTATCAGCAGCGAGGGGGTGGGGGAACCCTTCCCTAATCAGTGTGTCCTGCTGGGGCCTGACCACGACCTCCTCAGCTCAGCACTGTGGAAGGAGCTCCTGCAAGCATGTGCCTGCATTTCTCCAGTCCAGAGGGGATGGCTGTTTAATTACAAACTGGTTTAGCCTAGCCAGGTTAGACTTACCTGCAAAGATTGAATCAATTCAGGTTCAGGTTTTTCGAATGTCTGTCCCTAGCCACTGTGTTCAGCAGAAAGCCCTCTCTCCTCCTATTCCCCATCCCCTTGCCCTCCCTACTTATGCCTCTGGGCATAGGAAGGGGCAGTGATTACCTGGGAGGACTGGGCAGAGTTGGAAAACCCACTCACCATCATTGCTGCTGTCTGTGACTCAGTTACTAGTTGAGGCAGGAGTGGCTGTAGAGCTTTCCCTGCCCCCAGGTCAGATAGGGACAGCAGTGGTGGTAGGTGAGAAAGTGGGTGAGTGAAGAGGAAGAGATGTACCTGCTGAGCATGGAGGGGAAGGAAGGGAGTGCTGAGAGCAGAAAGGGGTTCAGATTCTTAGTGCTTGAGGGACTTAAGTCAATGGCTTCTGCTCCTGCACTGTGGTACAAAAGGGGCATGCAACTGTGGCACTGCATCCTCTCTGGATCAGGTCCTAGGATCTTTTCTAGCTTCTGTTCTTAGTTTTGCTCAGCTGTCACCTTGGACAGAATCTTAATCTTCCCTTCCTATTTGTAATTTAGAAATTATTTACTTTGCTGGCATGTCTTGGGCCTGATTTTCACATGAGCTGAACATCCATATTTCATGCTGACTTCAGCTGGAGTTGCAGGTACTCACTGCTTCTGAAAACTGTACCTTTAACCCAGTGACTTGAGAGCTTTTGATCATAAAAAGAAAGGCACTACACAATATTTAATATAAATATTAAAACTCCTGTTATTACATAGAACATATCCCTTCATTTCCAAAACAGTACACAAGAACTTAGCTCGGCATTTGCATAACCAGAGCTGCCCACTTTGCTTTGAAAAATGTTACAGTAAACATTATAGCTCATAAAAGAATGTTTGAAGCCAGGTTATATTTTTTAAAATATGTAAAGACACAAGAGGAAGAAGAAATAGGCATAAACAAAATATACAAAGAATACATTACCAAAGTGTGCAAGCAGATCAGTAATGCCCCACCCCTAACAATCATACAGAAAAAAAGAACTGTAAGTCAGACCTGAAAGATGTTACGATCAATGTAGAACATTTTGGCAATATTAGCATGTATAACAGAAATAGTGAACAACTCTGACTATAGTTTTTCTATCCATGTTTCTTGTTCAGCTTTCTGTGCTACTTGTTTTCTGTTGAATTAGTCTGAATTGATTTTAAGCATTTAATGTTAAAGCTAAGTAAGAGATTGTTGTGTATATATTAGGGAGCAGAAAAATGCAAAGTATTTTGGAGATCAGAAAAGTCATGCAAAATAGTCAAAATATCACAAGGTGATGTTTTAGCCATAACTTGAGATGCAGTTAACACTGATTTTGTGCCCTAGAAAAACTGTTGGGTACTTCTTTTGATTGCCTTGGAGACTCTCCTCTTTTCTGAAATGTGGGTAATATTGCCAAATATATTACTTCTGAATTCTTTCTTTCTCTGAAATTTTTTAAAAGTATTTTGTAAATACATAGAGCTTTTTTAAAAAAAATACCATATTCATCATATTTTCATGTGCTTAGAATGTAGTATTTTTAAGTACTTATAACACTTGAGTCAACAAATTGTTTTATAAATGTTTTACAGCAGATATAAAAGTACAGTGCACTAAACATTAGATTTCTGTTAGTAAATAAGTAATGTATTTGGCAGAAAATTTGTAAAACCTTGGTATGTAATGGCCCAAATCTACTTCACAGTCAGTCTGTATTCCTCTTTGTTTAATAGCCTATGGCATAAATTGAAGTTAATTATCAGGGCTGACAAGTAACTCTGCTTTCTGTCTGCTTGCAGAGTCTCTCCGAGGCAAAGATGGAGCTGAGAAGAAAAGATCAATCTCTGCGTCAGCTCAATAGACATCTTACCCAGCTGGAGCAGGACAAGCGTCGACTAGAAGAGAGCATCCATGATGCAGAGAGTGCCCTCCGCATGGCAGCAAAGTGAGCACTGGGACCTTGGGGAGATCACTTAAAACAGACAAAAGATCAATTTTTTCTTTCATGCGCAGGGTTTTAGTCTTGGATAATGCAGAGCTAGAAAACAAAAGTATAGCTGTTTCGCTTTGAAATTCAGTGATATATCTTTTAAGGAGAAAACTTAGTTCAATATACTAAGTGTATATTTTATATAATAATCCCATAAAATAAAAAATTTGTGTCCTGAAATAGCACCAACATTTTTGTTTGCCCGTTATTTTACAAATTTGCTAACGTATCTTTTGCAGCATCTGAAGTCTAGCGCATGTTTATTTAAGAAATGAGATAGCTTATTTCCATTGTTTCCATATCATTTTTGCACAGGTATGCAATTTACATTTAAGCATTTAAAATAGGCCGGATATGAAGGTCAATGGGAGCCATTTTTTTACTTCAATGGCCTTTAATTACAGCCATAAGTCTATACAGAGATTTCTCTTTTTATGTAATGATGTTGGAAAAATTTGGGGACGACTTTTGAGAGATCCATGGTCTAAAGTAGTTTCCCTGAATTTAGTTGGACTTGACTACTCCCCGGCAAAAACCTAAAATATTCACAGTACATTACTCTATTTCTTCACCTACAACATGCCCCAGAATATAATTTGCAGCTTGTTTTTGAAAGATAGAACAAAGGAAAAACAAGATTTTTCTAGAGTTATGGCTGTATAGAGCAGGGATGGAACCTTATCTTCAG